GAGAATGGATTTTCTTTTTTATTAGTATTTTATTACTTATTCGAGAGAGAGAGAGAGAGAGAGAGAGAGAGAGGCAGAGACACAGGCAGAGGGAGAAGCAGGCTCCACGCAGGGAGCCCAATGTGGGACTTGATCCCGGGTCTCCAGGATCACATCCTGGGTTGAAGGCGGTGCTAAACCGCTGGGCCACATGGGCTGCCTAAGAATGGATTTTCTAATTCAATTCTTAAATCTTTCTTATTTGTGACTGGCTTATTCCCTTAAGGTTAGCTCCACATTTGATTACAAAAAATAAATAAATAAAATCCTAACATTAAAATGAATTTTAATAAAATTTTAATCGTTGCTTTGCTAGACTTGCAGGAATACACATGCTGTAATTGAACCTCTCTCTGTATGAGATACATTTTTCAGTTTTAGCTTTCCTTTAAAGGGAGATTTAACATTTACTGTATGGACGTACAATATGGGGAAAGACTTTTTCAAGGTTTTTGAAAGTTTAAAAAAGCATTTTATCACACAACCATCAGAATTATAGATGTTTATTAATACATTGTTTTCCCTTCCTGTGAGATTTAGTTTTGAGAGATGATGTAGAATAATGCCTGTCTTGGAAGTTAGGAGATCTTTATTCTTGTCTTGATCTACAACTAGTTAGCTGAATGTGACCTTTCACTGTTCATTTACCCTCTCTCGTCCTTATTTTCTTATGTAAAAAATGAAATTGTTTGATTACATGATATCTGAAGTCCTGTTTTCAGTTTTGAAATGCTAAGATTCTATGAAGTAAGTTTTGTAGTACTTGTACAGTTTATTTAAGATTTAATGAAGGCATTATATATATATTGTGTGATTCACATATTTGATTATTTGTTTAGTTGTCCAAACACTTGTTGAATGTTTTTGGTCTTCTGTGTTGGATGTCGGATACTTCTTAACTGAATAAGAAAGAGTGATGGACCTTGCCATCATTGGACAATGTTCAATAGAACAGAGGGTATTAAATGGCTGTTATTTAATTAATTATTATATCCATATGTGATATGACTAAGATTGAGTAGTAGAATGAGAAAAGTAGCAGAAAGAATGAGGATGGGTACTGGGACAGTGAATTAGTAAAAGAGAACAACATACACGGAGGCCCTGATTGAAGAATCTGGAATGCTAAAAAATTATAGAGAGGCAGGATTCCTGACAGTGTCACACAGTAGGTGGCTGGTGAGATGGTGGACATCAGATCGTATAGTGATTTCAAGATTCTAGATTTTATGCTAATATTACCTATAATACCTCCAGTTAAGTTCTTGATATTACAAGACCGAATAGATGTTAATATTCATAAAATACTTTTTTTATAATGGAAAAACATTTTCTATCAATCTCTACATTACCAATGACATCAGATTCCTGGCTTCTTCCTGTCCTCTTTCGCTCTTTAACAATGTTTTAAAATATGATAACAAGACTTACAAGACTTGTTTTAAAATATGATAACAAGACTTTAACATGCCTGTTAAAGTGAGGTGTTTCCCTTTTTGGATTATCAATTTTTTTCATATTTTCTGAGTCCTTTCCCTGCTTACTAAAATTGTAACAACTTGAGAATTTTGGATGCACTATCGATTAAAAATTAGCAAGTTAATACACTAATATTTGTAGTTTACATTTTTCTTAGTCACATATTGATTTTTTTCTTATTCCATCACTGATTGTATTCTACACTGTGAGACATTAGCATGTAAAAATCATATTTGTTAATATGCAAATAAGTTGTCTGGTCTTTTTTTTCTTTTTAGGTTTATTAATTTTTAAGAACACTTGTTTTTTTGTTTGTTTTGTTTTAATATATTTTTTTTTTATTCATGAGAGACACAGAGAAAGAGAGGTAGAGACACAGGCAGAGGGAGAAGCAGGCTCTATACAGGGAGCCCCACGTGGGACTGGATCCTGGGTCTCCAGGATCACACCCTGGGCTGAAGGCGGTGCTAAACCGCTGAGCCACCTGGGCTGCCCAAGAACACTTGTTTATGTTAAAAAAGACCTATATGGTTTTCAATGATTTTTCTCTGAAACTGGTTTGCGGCAGAAATATTCCTGTTGGCTAAACCAAAAAGTAAATTGTTTAATGACAAAGTTTCATTTCTTCTAAAAAAACACTGTGAAAGTGTAGGTTGGACACAAAAGGAAAATGACCCATTACTGATATCTGAGTATCCTGAGTTCAAAGATTTAAAATATACCAAATGTGTCAATTTTTTTTAGAACTTTCATACACAGATATTAATAAAGCCTTATCACTTTCAGAAATGTGGTGTTCTTCTCAGGCTGGTTTCCTAATACTTTTTTTCAACAGATTGAGATAAATACCTGTTCTGTATATCAGAATGCAGTCTTAGCACTGAATTGTGTCATTCTTGTTCTTATTTGAATGGCTTCAGTATGCTCTGTTCAGAAGCTTAGAACTTAGAACAATGCATATTAAATCACATTTTCAACTCAGTCTAATGAGTGTTTATACAGACTAATACTGCTTATTAAATGTTTATCTTATCCTCTGTGCATTTGAATTAATTTAAAAACTATTATGATTTGTAAATTTATGGGAACTAGATTCTAAGAGCCATTCATTTTTCCCCTCTCCTGTTTAGAGATGTATTTTATTTTCCAGTATTAATTTATTCTACATATTTGTTGAGCACTGACTATGAACAGAGGCCCCTTCCAGTCACTTGTATGTGGTATAAAGATAGATAAGACATTCTTGGTCCTAGGGATCTTACAGACTTTTAAGAGCATTAAAAACATTAAGAAGCATTTTTCACACAAGGGAAAAATATTAAAATACTACAAAGAAGAGTTCAGAGGAAGGAAGAATTATTTTTCTCAGAGAGAGCAATCTAAATAGACCTCATAAGAAAGAAGCATTTACAGTCCAGGTTTTAAGATAGATTGGATCAGATATATGCAAAAGAGAAAAATGATACTGTTAGCAGGGCTCAGAATAAGCAAAAAATATATGTGGAAAAGCACTAGGCATATAAGAGAATCTGATTTGTAAAGTATTGAATAGAGGTATATGGTAGTAAAACAGGCCAGGTTGATTGGGATGGAATCACTGAGAGCCTTTAATGCAATTTATAGATGTGTATTCAAATATAAGTTCAGGTTTATAAATATAATAAACACAATAGTTTTCTTAAATATATTTGGTATTTCTATATTGCTGAATTTGTGTTGGAGAAAAAGTTTTACTGTAACCTTCTACTGAATTGTATTGCTAGTGTTATAATAGAATCAGACTTTTGAAAAAATTTTTCTTATGAATGCTGATGCCCTGCTTTTAGTGATCTTTTCTATTTAAAATGTTTTCTCCATCATAAAATAAATACTCATTATTTAGATTATACAGAAAAATAGAAAAATGTTCATCTCTATGACTAACCACCTGTATTTTGTGTATTTCTTTCCATATAATATTTAAGACATTTTTAAGTAAAATAGAAAAATAACATGAGATAGGTTATTTTTTGTGTGTGTGCTTTTAAGAGGATTTAGAACTGATAAACCATTGACTACCTTACTTCTGTTTATCTTCCTGTGTTAGTTTGATTAAACAACTTTAAATCTTTGACTAAAATCTCAAGTTTTCATTTAAATCAGAATTTTTAGTCTGAGGTAAGTTGAAAGCATTGTGTATTTTTCAGTTTATAAGAGTAATTTATTCCAGAGGCGATCTTACTGTTTATTTTATTCCCCCTTAAAACTGCCTAAAAACATGGTAAAAACATAGAGAATATTCAGTGAGAAGGAATATTGTCTCCCGTTTATCTTTGAAGAGTTGTGGTTATTTAGCATTATCAGCACAGACACATTATGTTTGCAGTCTCCCATAAAGAAGAAAAAAAATGCAGAAATTTGCAGAGCTAAAATTTCTGAATAGGGCTAGAGATTTTAGAAAGGCAATGTAAGATCCGTATTTTGTTCACAGTTTGTTAACAAAAGGCCCACTTTGTGCCAGACCTTATAAATACAGAGCAGAATAAGACATGACCCCTGTTGTTAAGGTGTTTACAGTCTTTTTTAATGGATCTAAACAGAGAATTCCAGGCATTGACACCAGACCCTTCCTTCCTTGTATGTGCAAAGCAGAAGTCAATAATGCAGAAGACTTCCATTTGATAGGAAGTAATATTATTGAAGGAAGCTGTCTAAAGCCCAGGAATTTTTATGCATCTTAAGATTTTGGTGTTAAAATTAGAAGAATAGGGTAATAATTTCATATATGTAATATATATATATATATATATATATATATATCACATGTTATATATGTAGAGTGCAGCAAGACAAGATTTTCTGAATGCGTATGATCCAGTATTTGGAGAATGAGATTTAACGAAAGAGAGAAGCAGGAATAAATGTGGACTGGCTTCTTATTAATATTATAAACCTAAGTCCTAAGTAAGACAATTTTTTTTCTTATTAGTATGTAAATGGAAATTTCTTATTTATGTCTCATAGCCTGGATTTATATGCACATATATTAGCTTTGTGACAATATGGAGTTTTTATACTAATGACATGTCTTTCTCACTGTAGTCTGTCAACTGTGACATTTAGTTTCATTTAAATTTCATTCTTAATACTATTGAATCATCTGTTATGTCTCCATTGTTTATTTCTGCAAACCTATTCATATAAATGGAGATAAACATTGATTTTTGAACTCCAACTAAATAAATAAAATTTTTTGAGTGATTTAATGTTTTCCTGGTTCATGACATGACACATTATACCTGTCTAGGACTACATTGTTGATACCTTTTAGAGGAAGTAGGAGTCTCAATCTTATGTTCAGGAAGCATTAAACAAGTTTAGGGTAACCAGTTTTCCATTTTGTAGAATTACTCCTGTTTTTATATAATAATAAAAATAAGAATTTATATGACATTCAGAATTACAAATATTTTGATGATTTAAAACCACTTTTTCCTATGTAGGACACCATTGCAGTGGCTGGATTTGCTGTCTTGTCAGCATCTTCATCTATAAGCAGAGATGGTAAACATTGTTTATTTTTGAAAGCATTTGAGGACTTTAAATCAACTGTTTATGTAAGTATGTAACTTTTAGTCCAATCATATAGTTTTAATGAGTTAAGGGGATGGAATAGGAGTAGTATTTCTGAAAAGCTGCAGATAAACTAGTCTGACTGAATTATTTTAATTAAATATTTTAAGTTTAAAACATAATTCTTTTTTTGGCTTTATGTTTAGAATGACTCCAGGTAAAAAAGATCCCTGACAGATAATTATTTATTAACGGAATTTTTAAAAGATCCCTTAAAGATAATTACTAATGGAAGTTTTAGACCTGATCTTATTCTTTGCACTTAAACCAGTAGTCTCTTTTAATGGTCTACTTGATTTCACTTTAAATTGATTAAGTGCCCATTATTACATAAAATTGATTTCCTTCTGTTTTACTCTTTATAAAGATGTTCATTCTCTGCCTCTGTCTTAACCCCTTCCCCGACAGCCCCTGTGCGTGTGTGTCTGTGTGTGTGCACATGCGCACATGTGGAGACTACTTGTTTGGTCTAGGCTGTCAGACAAGTAGAGTTGGGCTAAGCCATGTGCTTCTAAGACCACTTTCTGCCTGTTTTTCTGTGGTATCCAAAAGGGCATTATATGTGGTGGGGATGGTCCTGTGATATTAAATTTATGGATTAGACTGAAATTTAACTTAGACAACTTTAAACATGTCTATCTTAATTTGTAAGCCATACTTCTATGCCATTCTCTTGAATTTGAATATTCAAATTGTTTAGGTGCAATTAAAGGTCTGTAATCACAGTGGAGGTTGTTTATATACAAGTTAATGCTCTTTATTTGTTTTCAGGTTTATGTTAAATCTGTAAGAGATTTTTCTGCAGAATCAATGTCTTTGGTAAGATGATACTCAATTTTAATTGGAAATATGCACACACGCACACACGTAAAGATACACACATGTATGTACATACATATATATATTTGATCCACTTTATAGACTCATTTTAAAATACTATCAATACAATGGGAAAACAAAGTCTCTACCTTTTTTATTTCTAAAAATGTTAAATTTGAGTCATATGTTTACCTAGTAATTAAAACCTGGTTGTTCTATTGCCTGGAATATCTGCTGATATTTTGTATAAGTTATATATCAAGAAAATTAAAAGGGAAAAAAAGTTTTAATTGTGTGAAGATACTGGGATTAGTACTATATTTAAACATCTAGCAGATACTTTTGTTTCTTCATCAGCTATATTTATAAACATTATCATGTGCCAGATTGTGATTTGACAAATTATTTGATCCTAAGAAGTTTATTATATTTGTGGTACATTTTTCATTTTTTTAATCTTTTTTTTCAATATTTTTTAAGATTTTGTTATAGCGATAGGAAGGTTCCCATTTTTATAGGTGAGTTACATGTAACTGAGTGGAATTGGAAAAAGGTAATATATATGATGAAGTTTAATATAAAGTTTACCTTCTGCCTATATTCTTTTTTGTTTTTTTTAAAGATTTTATTTATTTATTCCTGAGAGACACAGAAACAGAGACATAGAGGGAGAAGCAAGCTCCTCAAAGGGAGCCTGATGTGGGACTGGATCCCAGGCTCTGGGATCACACTCTGAGCCAAAGGCAGATGCTCAACCGCTGAGCCACCCAGGCATCCTCCTTCTGCCTATATTCTTAACCCTTTTGTTTCTAATGGACAGAGTCCAGGAACTTTGTTTTAGTTAACAGTGACTATGGGATATTGATTTTAAATTCTGAATAATACTATATGGTAGTATAATTCATGTTTGTCTAGAGAAACTGTAACCAATAAAAGGATTGATAAACTTTTTAAAAGCATGAATTAGCCCCAGGTATTAGTTTTTCTCAAAATTTTCTTAGATTCTCAGCTTCAAATATTTGATACATCTATGAACCTGTATTTAAGGAAGAAGTAAACAAAGCCTATGAAATTGGCAAAAATGTCTTTTCAGAGAGCCCAGGGGGTATTCTGAACTATTAGAATATAACGTAAATGCTGTGCACATATATACTGGGTTATTTACATGGAAAGTCAAATTAGAATCAAGAAGTTGTTTGTTGTTCATCTACATGGAATACCATAATAGTTAGTGTCATTGAACTGTGCTTTCCTGCCCCATTTACCTATACATTAAAGAGAGAACTATAATATCTTGGATCTAGTTATTTTGTCAGTTGATCACACATCTTTCTTTTCTGTCCCATAATGCTGACCATTATTTTTCTTTCATCATTTATGAGTTACAACTTTTTATATCAAGGATTGATGAGATTTCTAAGCCCTACCTTTCTTGCATTTGGACTAAAGGATCAGACTCCTTGAAAAAGCCAATTAACTCATTTTGGTTTGATTTTTAAAATTTTAGCTCATAGTGTGATAGGTAGTAACCTTATTTTCGATGTGGATGGGATGGATGGGTATTGGGGCCAAATGTCTAAACCCTTTTAAGGTCTATTTGACTAATATGCAGACATGTCCTTATAAATCACTTTCCCCTTTCTTTCCAAACTTATGTACAATAATTTCAGAAAACTTTTCTATTTTTACCATTTTTAGTGTCTTTATACCATTTATAATCAAAACCTGGCTTTTTAGGCCTAAGTAAAATCTTTATAGTAATATAGGAAAAAAAAAGAAATATATACCACAAGTTTTGAAGTGATATTACTTAAGGTTAAAATCCAGAACCAAAATCTCTTAAATTGCATTTCTTAGAATTGTATACAAATTATAGTATTTATAATCAAAATCCTTTCTCAGAAAAACTGGTTTGTATAGTAACCTTTATAGGTTGTGTATTTCCTTTTTTTTTTTCAGGCTACAGCCTCTTTTTAGACACTTAACAGGGGACAAATGCAATTAGATTGATTATTGATTTAAAAATTTAATCATAACATTATTCTAAAATGTAAATACTTAGTATTGATATATTCACTGGCTTCTCTTTCTTAGGTTCCAACAACACACTATATATATACACCCCTGAATCAACTTAAGGGTGGCACAGTCGTCAATGTCTATGGTGTTGTGAAGTTCTTTAAGCCTCCATATCTAAGCAAAGGAACTGGTAGGTATTAAAATTGGTAAAGATTTTAATGGGCTGGAACTGATTTATTGGTTTCAGAAACATACTCCTTCAATACTGTAAATCTTAGAGGCTCAATTTTGATTAATTAATTAAATTTTTTGGAAACTTTGTTTTAGAGAGAGTGCATGCATGCATGCATGGTTGCCTGTGAGTGGGGAGAGGAGGTTGCAGAGAGAGAAATTCCTCAAGTAGACTCCCTGCTGAGCACAGAGCACAAGGAAGGGCTCTATCTCAGGACCCAGAGATCATGACCTGAGCTGAAAGCCAGAGTTAGCCATGTAACTGACTGAGCCACCCAGATGCCCCTCAATTCTGATTTATAATTGTCACACAATGCTGATGCATATTTTTTGGCCATTTTCATTTATAAAGTAAGTATGGTCTTTATATTCCAAAGACTAAATTAAGGAAGGGTTGCTAAACTGCAACATGACAGCCTGTGAAAATATGAAATAGGCTAGAAAAGGTTAATATATAGACAAATACAGAATAATACTATAACAGTGATGTATAAATCGCTTTTACTTCTGGTATAGAACTTTAAAATGACTAAAGTATAAAAAATATCTGTGAACACATGTTAATGAATACACAGTATAAAGATACAAATTATAACAACATCAAGTGTGTATGAGGAGTAGGAGTATCGTTTTTGTATAATGTTTATCAGCATAAAATAAGTTGTTATAACTTTACGTAAACTCCATGGTAGACCAAAGAAAATACCTACAGAATATATACGGAAGGAAATGAGAAAGGAATCAGAGTATGTCACTACATAAAGAAAATCGACAAAATATGAAGAACAAAACTGCCAAAAGACAGAAACAGTTAACCAAGTGGCAGTAGTAAGTACTTTCCTATCAATAACGACTTCAAATGTAGAAAATTAGGGATGCCTGCGTGGCTCAGTAGTTGAGCATCTGCCTTTGGCTAAGGGCGTGATCCCAGGGTCCTGGGATCAAGTTCCGCATTGGGCTCCCTGCAGGGAGCCTGCTTCTCCCTCTGCCTGTGTGTTTCTGCCTCTCTCTCTGTCTCTCATGAATAAATAAATAAAATCTTAAAAAAAAAAGAAAGAAAAAATTAAACCTCAGTCAAAAGGCATAGTACTTTGGTTTTTTTAAAGGTAATTAATATATAACATACTAATTCTATATAATAATGCCAGCTTTTAAACAGACTGATGTGGAAAAGAATCAGAACACAGGAATTTCAGTTTTCTGATAGTAAATAATCCATATACCTTTACTTTGGTTTAATTCAGTTCAACTAAATTTAATAGTTACTAATCTATTTAATCTGACCTGAAACAAGGTTTGTAAAAGGCACCATTATGTATGTATCATCGGGAAAAGCTCTGCCAATTAAGTTATGCTTCACTGTAAATTTTAAGATGTAGCCATGTTTTAGATATGTTAACGCAAAACTGTGTTGTTGGTGAAATACTGTCTTTATCTGTTACATGCCAGCTGCTGTGGTTCCTGCTAGAAACACAACTCAATGTTCTCATTGAGTTCATATTTTAAAAAATACTTTATTAAATTATACATATGCAAATTTTGTTATTGAGTGAACTTGAAATGTACTCTTCAGTGCGGGATGAGAAGAACATTTATTTTCATGTGGTCAGAGGATTTTGTTAATGCAGAATATAAAGACTTACTCTATGAAAGTGACTGCATGAGAACTAAGAAATCCAGAGAAATTTGAAATAGGTGGTAACTAAGTCTGGAGGTTGCAGAGGGATGTTCTATTAAAAACTGATGATTTCTGTTTTACCAGAAAGGGAATATTAAACAGGTTGAAGCAGAGAAGTTATTGTTTAAGTATTTATTTCTCAAATATTTTCATTTGACTTTACTTTCTCCCACAGTCTACATTCCCCACTCCATAATACTGTTCAAAATACACTTGGATATTTACCTTGGTGGTTTGTTTTCATCATCAGGTTTACTCCTCTCTGAATCTTAACATTCTGTGAATTTACTGTAAAGGTGTGATCACTATGATCCTCTTCCAGTTGCGAGTGTTACCTGGTAGCTCTAATTGGCCTGCTGAATTTAGGAATAAACTACATTACTGCCAATTATGTCTATCTGACTTGATAGAAGATAAAATTTAAAAACTTTTCACACTTGATATGTTGCTAATTCTTGTCACTGTAAGGTTTTACTAAATCAACAAATGCATTCAAAAATAACATGTTAGTAATATAGAATAAATTGATAGCTTTTTTTTTTAAAGATTTATTTATTCAGGAGAGACAGAGAGAGAGAAGCAGAGACACAGGCAGAGGGAGAAGCAGGCTCCATGCAAGGAGCCTGATGTGGGACTCCATCCCAGAACTCCAGGACCACTCCCTGGGCCAAAGACAGGCGCTAAACCGCTAAGCCACCCAGGGATCCCGTGGTTTTTTTTTGTTTTTGTTTTTTAAGATTGTATTTATTTATTCATGAGAGACACAGAGAAAGAGAGAGAGAGGCAGAGACACAGGCAGAGGGAGAAGCAGGTTCCATGCAGGGAGCCTGATGTGGGACTCGATCCTGGGTCTCCAGGATCAGGCCCTGGGCTGAAGGTGGCGCTAAACCACTGAGCCACACAGGCTCCCCGATAGCTGATTTTAAAACATTGATGACTCAGTGTTAATTTTAAGCTGTTCTTAGACAGCATAATTATGTTTTCTTCTTACAGTGTTACTAAATCATGTGTATATAATGAAAGCCTTGGGGAACTGTAATATTTGTTATATATTCATATGTATTTTATATCTCTATCAGATATGTTTAGTTGGATCCAGTCCCTTAATAAAAAAATTCATTAGTAGTAATAAACCATCTGTTATTACAATGATAATATGTTTCTCTATTTTTTCTGAGATACTAAATTAAAATGAATGTCATAAATTTTATCACAACATATTCATTGAAACTCTGAAGTATATTTTAAAATAGAGTGAGATGTCTTTACTACTAGCAAGATGGTAAATTTTAAAATTATCTGTTATATAACTTTAGTTATACTTTTTATTTCTATTGATAGAACTCATCCTTCAACATGCTGTCGGAGAGTCAGACAAATAACATTTTTTGTGTTGAGGAAAGGATCAACTTCATTAGTGCTACCACTGAGATGTACCAGAACAAATGTACAGGAACAATCCACAGCTGTGCCTTTTTTATATTACATAAAGCAATATTATTTTGCAAATATGAGACCACCATCTTAAATATTACATCCAGATGTACATAACTAGTTATGTGGAGGAAGAGTACCTTTATGCAGCTCAAATTTAGGTAAATGGAAAAAAGTTTCTTCTCTTATATATATCATTAGCTGGAATTTTTCATTAAAATTTATTTTATAAATGTTAAATTCAGTGCTACTGAGGCTACTGGTATACTCTAGCACTTGTATTTCTTGACTAAAATTTTTCTTAAAGACTTTTCTCTCCACAGTAATAGTGATTGCATATGACCTGTAGCATGCTGCCGTCTCACTTCTGGTAGCAAATGCTTTATTTTCCAAGCTTTATATTCAGTCTTGGAGAAGCTGTAGCTTTTTATTCTTGCAGAAGTCTATTAGTCCCGTTGTTTAAAGGAAATAGATAGTTACTTTCTTATTCAATTGTGATAAGATTCATCATGAAAACTGAGAATTTCTCAAAGATTATGGAAACACATTTGTTAAAAGATCATTGTATCATCAAAATTGATTTTTGATAATGATTCATCCGGGGTACATAATATGTCCTCTTTTATATAGGAAGACAAGGTCATTGCTGCCTTCTTAGGATTTTGAGATTTTATAGCATTTATTTTTGAAAGCCTCACATTTACTTTTGCTTCAGAGAGCTGGTTAGACTGGTGTATAAGCTTTTTGCCTTACACAGATACCATTGATCATATTTTCTTTAGATAATGCCTATGAAAAGTTTAATTTTACTTTGTCTCTGATTTTAAGAAATAGCCTACAGTTTCTTTAAGCTTGAGACACATTTACTCTGTCCTTATTGTCTGTTCTTGGTAAGTAAAGATAAATGTATGCAGGCCATAAAACACTTGCAGACATAATAGTATGTGGCTCATACTTGCTGTTATTAATATCATAATGCCTGCTCGCTCTTGAAGCAAACGGGAGGAGTAGAAGTGCTTACTTTTCTAATATTTGAGCGTGGAAGAAGGGAGAGGATAGCCAAAATACTGGATATATCATTTTTTTACTGTCCACTTCTCCCCCCATTTTTTTTTCCTTTCCTCAAACTTTGGGGCCCTATAGGTCTCAGCCTTTTTGTGCCACATAATGTGGCACATCACCTGTGGGTCCCTAGTCTTATCTCAGGAATGCTTTATGTTCTGAAATTATTTGGTTTCCATACTTGTCTCCCATTAAGATTCTCCATTTTTGGAAAGCAGTTTGATTAAACTTGAACAGTTCTGGATGTTAGAGTATTTCTAGAAGCAGATCATTTGTTGTTCATTATCATAAAAGGATATCTATTTTAGCCATGAACTGAGCATTATAATCAAATTTCTTAGAGCAGTATCCAAACCTTGGACTTCTGAGAGCCCCTATCTATTTTGTTTTCTTTTAGTTCTTGGAGTAGGATGCTAGGATATAGGGCCCTCCCTAGGAGTTTTTCTTTTCCTGTCTATATAACATCCCATCTAACACTAGAATGCTATTTTTGGCTGTGTAAAAATATATTCACTTAGAATGATTTGACATTTATACATTAATATACATAGCTTTCTTGTTTGAATATTTCATTTTGCATGGGTAATATTAGTTGCATATTAAATGATTATGTAGTGTCTTATAATTTTTTAAAGTGTAACAAACTCCATATTAAAATGGTAAAAAAAGACAACTCATTAATTACTGAATAATTCATAACTCATTGGCGTTCCATAAGATCCATGACACTTCTGATTCATCAAAGAGAGATTAAAGCATTTACTATAATGTAAAATTACATGTAT